GCAAGTTGGGCAGTCAGAGAACCTTCCTTCCATAAGATGAGCAGCTGTTCAGGGGCTGGACAGCAGGCAAACGTGCCCACTTCCCAGTTGCTTGGTTGGTGGTCTGCATGGCTGGCTCCCTGGTTGATGTCTGGGCTCCCCAGCCAGCTTGCTGAGGAGCTGGTTAGCAGATGACTTAGCCAGGTCACCTAGTGGTTGAACAATTTTGACCTTACCAAAAGAAAATGTTTTGATAAAGTCAACCCCAAATTTAATTTTTAAAGGAAATGTTTGAATTTCGTTCTGTGGAAAGACTATCACCATTTTTAAGTGTTGAAACTTTGGAATTTCCCCTGGAATGGAAATCCTGGGTTCCAAACAGTTCTAATAGAGACATGTCATTGCTTTGATTTTGTTTTATTACACGGTGAGAATTCTTTCTCTTCCTCACTTGTCCCACAGAGTAACTCCAAAACTACGCAGTCACATGTGATCCATCCTTTCACTACAGCACCTATTTATTCAGCTGGGTGTGTATTCTGGCATCCAGAAGAGGACATGTCCATGGAAAGCTCATCATAGCAATTACAAGTTTGACCAAAACTGTAGGTGTAACATTTCTGCCACTATTATAATGCTGTGAACCTGTCACCTGCCTCCTCCCATAAAAAAAAGCATTAGCTACCATGTTCCTATTGAAATCATCCATGGCCACTTCTGATCTTACTGCCTCAGGATCCCAGTATTGCCACTAGTACTGCTGGATCCTTCACCAAGAAAGAATGAATCAGTGGATGGAGAAACAGAGGAACCAGGCAGGGTTCTGAACTTGGCTGAATGGTATATATGAAAGCATGTCGAACATGAAAGAATGAAAGACAATAAAACACAAGTAAGCTAATGATCAACCCCTCTCTGAATTGCTAGAGACCTGCATAGGCACTTTAGACAGTGGTGGAGGAAAAAAGAACAAGTGCTGCTTCTGCCAAGGTCAAAAAACAATTGCTAACCATTCATCTTTCCTTTTGCTGCCACTGGTGCGAACCTTGCTAGCATGTCTAACAAGAAGTGACACTATAACCATGTCTGGGCCCACAACAAAGGCAAACGTGTCGGAAACAATTTGTGTTTCATGGTAAAGATGAAGCCACAGCTGCGTGCACGCACTATCACAAAAATAAACAATGCAAGAAAACTGATGACACTAACTTCAATCAGGTTATTGAGTCACTTTCATGGCAGATCTATCAATGTACTAACTGACAGTATCAGTGAAAAGGTAAGGAATGCTGCCATCTTAGTTCATCTCTATTATAATGAGCTCATTCTCCCTCAGAATCTTATTCTTTAACTTCTATACACTCTTTGCTTTAACTTTGTATTTGTTATGTGCCATACCTTTTCTGTAACTCAAAATCAAACTTTTCTGTAAATCTAAACAATTCTCTGTTATATCAATAAATCAGAAACATTACAACCCTCTATGTAGACTGCCAAAGGAAAGATTTCCCTAGAGAAAAATGTTTCATACTTGGACAGAAACATTGAAGCACTGGATAGAAACATTAAAAACTGAATTGTTCAAGTAATACATTACTGTGGATTTTTTCCATCCGGTTCAACCCTATCTTCCTGCACAGGATATGGAAAACAGACCAGCCAAGTAGCTAAATGCCAGCATATTTACATGGAAGAGAAACCTCAGGTGAAGAAATCACACTGCACACCTCTGAGGATCTTTGACAAAATGCAGGTCTAGTCTTGTCTAAGGGAATATGAATCTTTTTCAAAAGACTTCACTATTTAAGGTGAGACAGTAAAATGTTCACCCAAAACTGAACACAAAAACAACCCTTCCACCATTAACTGAAGAGGAGGATTTTGTCAGTTAACCAAAGGATATGTATGGTGTTAGGTGGCCCAGCATTCTCATGCAGAAGTGCCTAGCACAGTGGGGTTCTGGTCATGCCTAGGTCTCTAGCCACTACAATAATATAAATAAATACATACATAATATTAATAATAATAATAATAAGTGGGACGGTATCAGGCTGCTTGAGCAAAATAAAATACTGCCTGAACACAAGGCAAAAACCTGTCTATTGGCAGACATGAAACTGCCCTGAATGCTTCTAAAAATGTAACTTCAGAATGCACAGGGTGGCAATACCAGGTTAGTTCACTAATCCATCTAATCTGATTCTGCCCCTTGCAGTGCTCAGTACCTAAAGTTAAATAGGCAGGTGAGCCTTGTCCTTCACTATCTCTGAAACAGTGAAATGCTTAATATACAATATTCAATAAAGTACTTCCTGACAGAGGGAATCTGTCTCATGCTCTGAAGAATATGATCTGGTTACTCCGTTATCAACTGTTTCAGGCAACACAACAGAAACTGTTATTCAACTTCAAAGACAAAATATTTGCTTAAAATGGATTGAAGTTTGCAAATGTTCATTAGCTCTTTAGTAAAAATCCCTTCCCCTCCAAAACTCTTGGATTTTAATTCTTACTATTGAATCTCTGGACATTTTTGCTATCAATATAAATGGCCAATCCTTTTTTGAATCTTGCTGCTAAGCATTTGGCTTCAATGTTATCTTGTGGCAGTGATATCTATGAGTTAATTGTATGTTGTGTGAAAAAATATTTCCTTTTTAATTTGCCACTTTTCAATTTCATTGAATTCTCTTTTGTTCTTGTGTTCCGAGAAAAGGCGAAGAGATGCTCCCATCAACTTTCTAAATACGATTAGATGTTTTTATACCTTCATCCCTCTCATTCATCTCCCCTCCAAGATACACAGTTCCAGTCTTTTCAATCTTCCTTCATATGTGTTTTCCCATGCCGCTAATGATTCTCACTACCTATCTCTGAAGTCCTCCTTTTCTGACAGATGCTGTTTGAAATAGGGTGACTAGAATTGAACACAGTTATCCTGGTAAGGACTCACCTTTGATTTATATAATGGCATTGTAATATATATGTTATTATATATACTTTATCCCATTCCTTTATGCACTGCAGCATTTTGCTTTTTCAACAGCTAGTGCACACTGAGTAGAAATTTTTCACTAAACAGTCTTCTGTGAAGTCCTGATCTTTTTCTTGAGATGTTGCTGCTAATTTAAAATCCATTAAAGTGTATAAGTAGTTCAGATTATTCTTTCCTATGTTAATTATTTTACAGTTGTCAACATTACATTTCATTTTCCACCATGCTGCCAATTTACAAACATGGATACGTCTCTGAAGTTAGTCTTGTGTCTTCTCTAGTCTTGACTAATCTGAATAATTTTGGTTTACCTGCAAATTCTGCCACCATTTGCAAAACATTTATAAATATAGTGACCAAGAGCAGACTAAGTTTGGAACCTTGTGGCACCCCTGCTTGTTAACCATTTACCATACTGAAAATTTACCATCCACTCCTGCGCTCTTTTCTTTCTCTCATAGACAGTTTGTTTCAGGGCAATACTTGGGGAATCCAGGCTGGGGCAGCAGGTACTTTCTGCAGCTCCCAGTAAGCTGTCATCAGGTCCCCGTGGTCCCTAAGCATGTGTTGGGTGGCCAGGGAGGCTCCACACATTGCCCTTTGCGTTTGCAGGTACCACTTCTGCAGATCCCATTAGTCTTGGCTCCCAACCAACGGGAGCTGTGGCGATAGCAGCTGTAGGAGTAAGGCAGGGCATCTAGCCTCCCTGGGCACCATGGTGGCCACTTCCAGGAGTCTATAGGGACCCGGTGGCCACTTCCAGGAGTCACATGGAGCCAGGGCAGGAGGGAACCTGCCCTAGCCCCAGGCCCTATCTGCACTGCCAACTGGACTTTTAATGATCCAGTTAGTTTTGCAGTCCAGAACCGCCAGGATCCCTTTTTGACCAGGTGTTCCAGTTGAAAACCAGATGTCTGGCAAACCCAGGTAGAGTCTAGGCACAGTATGCCTAGTGGAAAATGCATTTAAAGTCGTCTAAACACTTTCTAATCGCCCACATGCATACACAAGATATGGAAAGTCTATAGAGGCAAGTTCATAGAGTCTCTTACATTGCCAAGTATGCAACATACACAAATCAGCACAGGAGTATCAAGACTAGATCCAATGCCATACATAACACTTTCCTTCAAATATTTGCAATGACCCGTAACTAATAACTGTTTCATGAAATTCAACCAAACTTTCTATAACACTCCTCTTTGCCTTCAGAGTAAATTTGGTAATTTTGAGGCCAAATTAATATTCCAAACCAAAGCTATAAGGGTACGTCTACACTAGCTCGTTAGTTCGAGCTAGGTAGGGTAATGAGGGCAAGCGGAGTTGCAAATGAAGCCTGGGATTTAAATATCCCGGGTTTCATTTGCATGTTCCCGGGCGCCACCCCCCTTAGTCCGAACTCTGTGCCTGCGCCTACACGCGGCACGGAGTAGGTAGTTCGAATTAAAGATCCTAATTCGAACTACCATTACTCCTCATGGAATGAGGAGTAACGGCAGTTCGAATTAGGATCTTTAATTCGAACTACCTACTCCGTGCCGCGTGTAGGCGCAGGCACAGAGTTCGGACTAAGGGGGATTTAAAAATGGCGGTGCCCGGGAACATGCAAATGAAACCCGGGATATTTAAATCCCGGGCTTCATTTGCAACTCTGCTTGCCCTCATTACCCTACCTAGCTCGAACTACCGAGCTAGTGTAGACGTACCCTAAGAGTGCTAAAATTAGGCTAACACTCAATCATAACATTTTAGGAGCAGAGTTCTTTCTGAGAGATTTTTGTTGCTGGCTAATGACTGACTTAGTGAAAGATTGCTTTAGAAAGAGAGAGAGAGAGAGAGAGAGAGAGATCGAACCCTGAGGGTAAAGAACCTTAGTTTTCCAGGTATTCCATGGCACCCTGAGGGTAAAAACCTTAGTTTTCCAGGTATTCCATGGCAGCAAACAGAATAGGTAGGCATGGAATACATACCGTAATAAAAGGAAACAGTGTTTTTATTCAGAAAGCAGAATTTCCTCTCATCTTACCTATAAAGATCATTGATCAATCCCTGCTTCCAGCGAGAACAAAGATTATTAAGGACCCGCTCATGCTGTCCGAACAAACAAACGTAGTTGGAGACAGGGAAGGACTCCTTTGAAAAGCAGGTAATGGCTTCTACCATACTGTACAGGTTAATATGTATCCTGAAGTAATTCCCCTTTGTTGCATCCCCTGTTAAGATTTCCATCCCCTGGAACAAAAATAGTATGAATATTAAGAAAACTATTTAGACTGAGAGGACATTCTAAATGGCATGTGTATCAACTAAAATTGATATACACATCCTGATAGTTACACTAGCTCTTTTTGAAATTAAGAAGTTATTAGAAGCAAAGAGCAGCTTTAAGAAATGTAGTTTATAAAGCCAGGTACAATAAAACCTTGTAAAGTAAGGTTGATAGCACAATCATGAAAAAGTAGGACTGGAAGAAAGCTCAAGAGGTCATCTAATCCAGCCCCCTGATCTGAGGCAAGACCAAGTAAACCAGGACCATCTCTGAGAGATTTGTGTAATCTATTCTTGAAAACTTCTGACAGAGATTCCCTGGGAAGTCTATTCCAGTCCTGAACTATCCTTCTAATTAGAACATTTTTTCCTAATATCTCATTTAAATCTCCCTTGCTACAGCTTCAGTCCATTACTTTTTGTTCTCCCTTCATTGAACACAAAGAACAATTGATCACTGTACTCTTTATAGCAGCCCTTAGCATATTTGGAGACTGTTATCAGATCTCCTCCCACCCCACCTTTTCTCAAGACTAAACATGCCTAGCTTTTTTTAGCCTTTCCTCATAGGTCAGGTTTTCTAAACCTTTTATCATTTTTGTTTTCCTCTGCATTCTCTCCAGTTTGTTAACATCCTTCTTAAAGTGTGGAGACTAGAATTATACACATTACTCCAGCTGAGAACTCCCCAGTGTCAGAGTGGGATGATTATCTCCCATGTCTCACATACAACACTCCAGTTAATACATTCCAGAAAGATAGTAGACTGTTTGTGACTGCATTACATTGTTCATTCCTACTCAATTTGAGATCCACCACAGCCCTCAGAGGCTTTTCAGCAGTACTACTACCTAGCCAGTTATTTCCCATTTTGCAGTTATGTGTTGATGTTTCTTTCCTGGGTGTAGTACTTTGCACTTGTCTTTATTGAATTTCATCTTGTTGATTCAGACCGATTCCTCAAATTATCAGTCATTCTGAATTCTAATCCTGTCTTCTGCAGTGCTAGCAGTCCCTTCCAGCATGGTGTCAGTCATAAATTATATAAGGACTCTCTCTAATCCATTATTCGTGTCATTAAAAAAATGTCTGTATTAGACCCAGGACAGACCTAGGGATGTTAAATGCCGTTTAATCAGGTAATCAACTAGTCAATGAAATTAGTTGATAAGGGGGAAAACTGCAGCACCACAGTGGGGCTAGCTCCTGACCCCGGGAGCTAACCCCGCTGTAGCTCTCCCTTTTAAATGTATTAAGAGCCTAATTGCTCTTAATACATTTAAAAAGCACAAGTGCAGAAGGGGGGGGGGACTCAGCACGAGCTGGAAATCAGCTGATTCACAGCTCATGCCCGGTCTCCCACTACACCACTGCCTCTCCTGCCCTCCCAGTGGAGATGGTGCTGGGGTCTGGGGCTGGCTTTTAACGTGGCTCCCCCCAGCACTGACTCCTGCTTCACCTTGCTGCCTCTCTCTGATGGGGGGTAGGGGAGTGACTAGTTGAGTCACTAGTCAACTATCCAATAAGCTTACATCCCTAGACAGACCACCATAAGAATCCATTAGACATATCCCCCAGTTTGACAGCAGTATGATATTTCAATCAGTTCTGCACCTTCCCTATAGTAATTTCATCTAGACCACATTTTCCTAGTTTGCTTATGAGAACGTAATTTGGGGTGGTATCAAACTTCAAGATATATCACTTCCATAGCTCCACACCTATCCAGTAGGCCAGTATCCCTGTCAAAGAAGGAAATTAAGCTTGTCTGGCTTGATGGCCATAGCTTAAACCTTATTATCCTATAAGTGCTCAGAAACTGATTGTTTAATAATGTGTTCCAGTAATTTTCCATTTATTTAAGTTAATCTATAATTTTCCAGCTCTCTTTGTTCCCCATTTTAAAGACATATATTATATTTGCTCTTCTCACTCATTCTCCATGAGACCTGAAAGATAATCCAAGATGGCTTCAGCTAGTTCCTTAAGTGTCCTAAGATCAATTTCATTAGGCTCTGTTGACTTGAATTCCTCCAACCTGTCTAAATATCCTTTTACCTGTCCTTGCCCTATTTTGGCTTTCATTCTTTCTCCCTTGTTAATATGAAATATTTTGGGTCTGCACATTCTAAACTCAAAACTCCGATCATCTGAAGAAGTGGGCTGTGCCCACGAAATCTCATGATACCATCTACATGTTTTGTTAATCTATAAAGTGCTACTAGACCATTTGTTATTGAATATCTGGTCACCGTTACCCTTTTTCTCCTCTACCAGGTAGAGCACCTACACTTTCCCTTTCTCTTGTTCCTAATGCTTTTAAAGAATGCCTTCTTATTTACTAGGTGTGCCTGAGCCTTACTGATTTCCTGAATCAGACTTTTTTGATCTTGTCCTTGCTATTCCTCTTTAGCAATCTATCTATATTTCCAGTTTTTGAAGGACTCCTTTTTGATTTTCAGATAATTAAAGACCTTCCAATGAAGCCATGTTGGCTTCTTATTACAAGCCCTATCTTTCCTTTGCATCTACATAGCTTGCTGTTGTTTCTTTAATATTGTCTCTTTGAGAAACTAACAGCTCTTCTGAACTCCTTTCTCCCATAGATTTTCTTCTCATGGCATCTCACCTGCCTGGTCTCTGAGTTTGCTTTTTGATGCCCATTCATAGAATCATAGAATATTAGGACTGGAAGGGACCTCAAGAGGTCATCGAGTCCAGCCCCCGGCCCTCATGGCAGGACCTAATACTGTCTAGACCATCCCTGATAGACATCCCTGATAGACATCTAACCTACTCTTAAATATCTACAGAGATGGAGATTGCACAACCTCCCTGGGCAATTTATTCCAGTGTTTGACCACCCTGACAGTTAGGAACTTTTTCCTAATGTCCAACCTCAACCTCCCTTGCTGCAGTTTAAGCCCGTTGCTTCTTGTTCTATCCTTGTCCTTAACCAGGTGCTCTTACTCCTTCCTTTCCTTCATTTCATGAAATCTATCATTTCATGCTCACTTTCACCCAAACTGCCTTCAACTTTTCAGATTTGCAACCATTTCCTCCCTGTCAGTCAGAACGAAGTCTAAAAATGGCAGTCTGCCTTCTATAACCATATGGCACCCCTTTGAAATCAATGGGGAACTATAGGAGTACAGAAGTCTGCCCACATGCTATCAAATGGAAGATCCAGACTTACGCTTTTTATTTTCTTTGAATATCAAAAATAGCTTAAAAAAACAAAGGAAAATGGATTTTAAAAAATACTATTATGGTGCAAGAATAGCCAAGCCTGACAGAAATAAAGGAAACTCATTTAAGATTGCTAACGGTATAAATGAAAACATAAAGTTCAGTATATTTACTTGGATATAAGGGTTTTTTTAGCTGAAGTTGTTTTAGAATTGCTACTGTCCACAGATAACAGTGACCTCATATAAATGTTAAACCACATTAACAAATATTCTCTTTCATAAATCAGTGTTTATTATTATTACTTTGACACATCTGTACTAACTTTGGAAATGCACAGTACATTTTCAGCCATCTCAAATTATAGTTATTTATCATCCACAATATTTAAAAATGGTACTTTTGTTTTGACAAACTTCAAGATCAGGTACCATCTGCTCATGCAATTCTTTCACAATATTTATCCATTCAGGTGCTATATCTATCTAGGTTTTTCTGTGCCTCTATCATGGCAGTAGTAGAGCACCTCTTAAAATTACAGAGCCAAATCCTCAACGTGTATAAATCAATATAATTCTCTTGAAAGTAGGGCTGTCAAGTGATTAAAAAAATTTAATCATGATTAATCGTGCATGCTACCCCTTTGAAACACTGCAGCAGCATTTCAAAGGGGTAGCACCTCAGGATCCTGAGATCAGCAGGAGCCCCCAGCTGACCCCAGTCTCTGTGCAGCACTGCCCCTTGGAAAGGCCGCCGTGGTTGCGCTGCCTCTTTGAGGCACCGGAGCGGCACTTCAAAGGGGCAGCAAAGCGAAGCTGGGGATCAGCTGGAGTGCCCAGCTGATCCCCAGCTCCGCATTCCACTGCCCCTTTGAAGTGCCACTCTGGTGCTTCAAAGGGGCAGCGCAGCATTAACGCCTGCAATTAATGCATTAATTTTTTTAATGTGTTAATCCTGGTTTGCGTTAATTGCAGACGTTAACACAGATAAATTGACAGCCCTGCTTGAAAGTAGTGATGCTGTATGGAATTACAAAAAGCTGAGGCTCTGTCCCAAAAAAGATACAAATTAAGAAATACTTATTGAATTCTTTTCCTTCTACTCAGCAGAGGATGTTTTTTTGTTTCTGTTTTGCTAGAACTTGGTGAGAAATAAGCCTGCAGATCAGCCTTTTAAACTGTCAAGAGCCAGTACGGACTGGTGGATATGGCACTATATTGGGATTAGGAAATGTGGTTTCACTCCCAGCTCTACTTCTGACATGCCATGCGACTTTGGATAAAACACTACTCCACTCTCCTTCACCGACCAGTCTGTTTGATCTATTTAAATTGCAACTTCATCATGGCAGGAACTGTATCCTAGTATATTTTTCTAGAATTCCTAGCACTATCGGGTCCCAATCTTTGCTAGGGACTCTAGACTTTCCTGTAACACAACTACAGCTGAAATACCAATTGTGTTGGATGTTAATTCTGGTGTGACACTGCTTGGATACACTTGGACCAGTGGTTCTCAAACTTCATTGTCCCACAATCCCTTCCTGACAATAAAAATTACTTCATAACCTCAGGAGAGGCCACTGAAGCTTGAACCTGACTGAGCTTCACTGCCCTGGATGAGGGAGCCAAAGTCTGACCCCCACTGCTTTAGGTAGAAGGGTCAAAGCTGAAGCTCAAGGCATTCAGTCTCAGAGAAGGGACTTGCAACCTGAGGCCTGCCACCCAGGGCAGAAGTCCTTGGGCTTTAACTTTGGCCCTGGGCAATGGTGCTTGGGCTTCAGACCTAGGCCCCAGCAAGTCTAAGACAGCCCTGGTGACCCCATTCAAAGGGGACACAACCCATTTTGTGGTCCTGACCCCCAGTTTGAGAATCGCTGACTTAGACAAAGGAGTCAGCTACCGAATGGGCAAAAGGTAATTATGCTTTTAAAACCTCATATTTCAATGTCATGGCCAAATATTTCACAGGTATATTTTGAGCTGCGCTCATGTTCTAGTTTTGTAAAATTAGTTGCTAGGTTACAGCAAGCTCTGTTATTCCTGCAGCACTTTGCTAATACATCTTGCTAGTTTTTCTCATTTCTTTCTGCAGCATGTTCTTTGATGAGGTGCATGAAGTGTTTGGAATGTTTTAAAAGATATTCCCTCTGAAGAGGGCTGTGAACAAGTCAAAAGGTGCAATGAAAGAGTTCTAATAATGCTTTCTGTATTTAGCATGGAGAAGCCTCTCCTTAACAGGGCTCCTCCATTACCCAAAAGGGCTACTGTAAGGTTCCTTCTGGTTCCAGCATCCAGAATCTAAAAAGAGGGGGAGCCATGATTTGATTTTCATGACTTCTTCTAAGTCCATGTCCCTCCTTTAAACTCTGTTCTTACGAAGAATTTCCAAATGTAAGGAACTAAAAACACTTGAAAAGCTACTGGAGGTCTGTTGGCCTCATTCCATGAGTAAAGGTCTTGCACAGATGCTATCTTAGAGAATCAGTCCTTTTAGGTTGTTTATGTCTCTATTCTATTTGTGGTATACCTGCAAACTCAGATTTCGGGTAAAGAAAAAGCTGAAAATGCCTTAGAGATACTGGCAATAAACACATAGTTCATGGATTTATTGATAAATGCCCAGATTCAGGAAAGCTTTTAAGTGTGTCCATCACTATTCAGGACAGTACTCAAGCGCACAATACTTAGGTAATGTCCGGAATAAGAATGCATTTCTGAAGCAAGGGCAAAGCAAAAAAGAAAATTCAGTAGCAATACTTACATAATTAGGCTGTGTAATTTGTACATCCAAGCGTGCAGGGATTCCTGGCTTTGAAATATGCAAGTAATAACAACTTCCAGGAAGAACACCTCCTGCCATAGACAAAACAGCTAAGATTAATTTCTTTGTTAATGTTGTAAATCGCAGTTTATTTATTCATCCATAAAACAAAACAAAAAGAAAGTTTCCCCCTAGTCACATTTTATTTACTAAATAATTCCCTGGAGAGAGGGAAAATGTTGCTTTTTGATGGCATTCATATTGTATGCATTTGTATATGTTTTTGTATTTTTGTCTATTTCAGTGTAATAGTTACACCGGGTCAGATTCTGATCACAGTTATATTGATGTTAAAATGATGATAGCTTCTGATTTCAGTGAAATTATTCCAGATTTATAACCGTATAAATGACTTCAAAATCTGGTCTGTTATTAGCAAAGAATATGTCTATTATATATTTTGAATAGTGAGTTTGTTTGTGGATTTGTGTGTGAAAAATAAAGTTGTACTTCGGATTACCTACAGGTACCAAGTTTTGCACAGACAATCCTGCCACTTAAATGAGCTAAATGCTCTACTTTATAAACTGGAACATACTGTGTGAAAAGTTTACACAATTATTTTTTATTTTCATCGGAAAAGAATCATGTCTATTATGATTAGATTCATAAAAAATATTTGCTAACAAAATTAAAACTGAATCACCTATTCAAATGTCACTTTAGTGCAAAGAAAATTGTTACTGTTACAAATCACAAAATAATTCAAATTGGTTAGAAAGAGTAATGGAAGCTTTATGAGTTTCTGATTCAAATTTACTATGTATGGCATTTATTCAATAAAATGAATAATGTTTGAAGTTGAAATCCTAGAAATTCAAAACTGTTCTTTTACTTCCCTTTTGCAAGCACATTAATAACAAATTCAATTACATAAATTTAATGTCTTGAACTTTCTTTAAGAGTAATCTACACAAAATGACTTTGCTGGTCAACGATAAGCTTTACCTGCCAGGTCTTTATATTTTGTCTGACAGTTGATAAGATGTAGTACATAACTAAAGCCAAACTAGGGATGGTGGATCTCAAAGGATACATTTTCAATGACCTGTGCAGCATGCAACTTATGCAAAGAACATACACATTTATGCTCAATTTTACATCAACAAAGCAATGGAAAAAGGATTTGGATAGATGATCAATGAGTCAGTAAAGCTCAGTGTTAATCTGATAGCCAGCCAAAATATCACAAGCCCAGAGCTGGACTTCATGCTCCCAACTCTCAGGAAGAAGCTGATTTGGACTGTTTAGTGAACATTGGATTCTTGCCACCAATTTCACACTAGTTTCACATAGTAAGTTGGGGACACAATTTTAGTAAATTGGATTTGCTCAAGGTATGTCTAGAATGATGGCTGATCTGGCATCTCACAGATAACACACAAAAAGGCTTATTTTGCTTCAACAGATTGCCTTTCACTATCACATGGGCACCTCTGTTCCGCAAAGCCAGGGATGAGATTCTGAAGGAAGTGAATGGAGTTCAGTGCTGTTTGGATGGCATCTTGTTACAGGAAAGGATCACCTTCTGAATGTGGATGCTGTCTTGCAGCTATGGCCTGACTACATTGAGACACCTGAATGTTTCAGTTGAAAACCTTAAAGGTACTATGAGTTTAATTAAATTTCTAGTGAAGCCATTTCTTTAAGTGCCACTGCCAGAGAACATGTCACAGTGCTTTTATTCTTAGGACTGCTTAACTACTATAGTAAATTTCTGCCTGATCTGGCAATCTAGTATTCACATCTTTACAAGAACAGTGACAAGCAAGAAAAAAAAAAGAATTAAAGACTGTGATTGTGCATTTAAAGCATCAAAAGAAGCTGTTAACTCAGTTCTTATCCACTTTGATAACTTCTTTCCATTGCAAACAGCTTATAGTATGCTTTAGTATATGGCCAGGGTGGGCAGTAATTTTTGATGGGGGGGGCCACTCCACGAATTTGGAAAGTGATCAAGGGCTGCACTTTTCATATTAATGGAGGAGGTGGGGCGGGAGTCAGGGAAGGAGTTGGGTGCAGAAGGGAGCTTGCAGTAAGAGATTGGGGTGCAGGAGAGGGTGTTGGGTCTAGGAGGAAATTTAGGTGAAGGAGGCAGTTGTGACCAGGGTTAGGGGACTGGACTGCTGGGGTTTGGGTCATGACCTTGGTCAAGAGGGGGTTATGACCTGGGGAAGGGAACTACAGTGCAGGAGGGGATGGAGGAGTTTGGGTTGTGACCTGCAGCAGGAGATTGGGGTACAGGATCTGAAAGGGGATATAGGGACATGAGGGGCAGCAGAGGGTTTAGGTTATGTGGGGTAGGGTTGCAGGGGGAGCAGAAGGCTTGGGTTGTGACCTTGAACAGTAGGGAGCTATGACCTGGGGCAAGGTATTGGGGAGCAGGATTTGAGAGGGGATATGGGCACAGGAAAGGGGCATAGGATTTTGGCTATGTGGAGTAGGGGGGAAAAGAGTTGGGATGCCAGAGGCAGGCTCTGGCTGGGAGACTTACCTGCTTGACTCCCAGCCAGAAGCTTCCTCAAGCAGACTCCTTGCCTGCCTCACCCTTGCACTGGCTGCAAAGGCCATGTGGTTTTTGAACAGCTACGAGCTTGAGGGGAGGGACATAGGATGCTTCACAAGCTGCCTGTTGTCAACAGGCAGCTCCCAGTGGCCAGAAACAGGCTAATGGGATTGTGCTGGGGGCAGGGACAGTGCATGAAGCCTCCCTTCTGCCCCACCCAGCAGCAGCTTTTTTCAACAGTGTGGGGGGGATAGTCAGGGAGTCTACCTGAGGTTCCCCGCTGCAACTGCAAGCCAGATCTGGTGGCTTGGCGGGCTGTATTTGGCCTTCAGAAGGTATTTTGCCCAGGCCTGCTTTAGGAAGACTTCATAAAGATCATATTGGCATTATATGGATGAAGACTATAGCCCAGAGTCCTGTCTGCTGACCAGGGATCAACAAAGACATTGAAAGGAAGATCAAATACGACATATTCACAAATTCAGTAAGACCCTGGCCTACCTTATCTATGTCCTTGGTCTCCACCTCAGACCCTTTGGACTTTGCCAGACTATTAGAAAGTTACATGGCTTTTGGCTCTAGATGACACCCATTTAAAATGACCACTAGTTTTCAGAATGACTTCTACTACAACAACCAAGACCATTGGATATCTTTGTACCTTGTTCAATCAATTTGGCTAATGGTTACAGTTGGTGAGTGACCATGAACCTCAACTATGTTCTGGAAAATTTCAGAGGTTCCTAGATTCAAATGGAATTAACACATATGCGCTGTTCATACCATCCTGCTACAAATTGATGAGTGGAACATCCTATACACTTAAGCATGCCTTACAGCTAACAAATCTATTTTGAGTCATCAGCAGACACGGGACAATGTATTTCTTGTCCTACAGAAATGCACCATATGCTACTACACAGGAGACACCTGCAATTCCTTCCTTGAAGCGAACTTTGGGTACCTATTGGAATCTGCTATGTCCTGATGGGGCCTCCTGTTTAGACAAATCCCAAGCAGTCCACATTGATCAATGATGTAAGACCTGTCATAATTCTTTTGAAGTAGGAAACTTAGTGAGGACTCAACACTATGACTGTGAAATGAAATGGGCAGCTGATATCTTGTAAAATGCATGCAACTGGTTTTTTGCTTAAGGTGAAATTGTCCAGTGGTCCTCTATGGATTGACATACGGATCAGTTGCAGGCACAAGTACCAGAATCCAGGGATGTTACAGTAGGACTTTTGTTCCTCTGAACAAATCAACTCCAGTTAAAACTACTAATTTGGATGACTTAGTAGAAGAAACTTTGGTACCATGTCCAGCTGATTCCTTAACAGATCAAATGGATTCCTTATAATCATCTTCCTGACAACTTTTGACAGAGCCAGAAGAGTTCCCAGACATTAACTACTTCAAGACAGGCCAAGAAGAGAAAACAACAGAATTCCATTTGCCATCACCTACAGCCCACAACTTAAACCCCTCCAACGCATTATCAACAATCTACAACCTACCCTGGAAAATGACCCCTCACTCTCACAGGCCTTGGGGAAAAGGCCAATCCTTGCCTACAGATAACCCCCTAACCTCAAACAAATTCTTTCCAGTAACCACACAACACACCTCCATCATATTCATCCAGGAACTCAGCCCTGCAATCAGCCCGGGTGCCAGTTCTGCCCACACATCTACACAAGCAATTTCATCATTGGACCCAACAACATCAGCCACTACATCAGAAGCTCATTTAACTGCACATCCACTAATGTGATCTATGTCATCAAATGCCAGCGATGCCCCCACTGCCATGAATATTGGCCAAACTGGACAGTCTCTACGGGAAAGAATTAACAGACACAAATCAGGTATCCGAAAAGGCAAAACACAGAAACCTGTTGGAAAACACTTTAACCTGCCTGGGCCATCATTAATGGATCTCCAAGTCACCATGTTGTTTCAGGCCAATTCCACAAGCCAAATATACAGGGAATGGTTGGAACTTAACTTAATTTACAAGTTTGATTCTTATCAGAATGGAATGAACAGAGATATCATCTGGCTCCTACCCTACCTTCCACATCCTAATGACTTAACCAACTAAACAATGGAGGTGCTAATTGTTCTTATCAGCCTCTTGTAACTTGAACAATCTATTCACTGTCTTTTTTCTCTCTTTTCCCCCCTCCTTTCTACCCCCCTTCCATTATTTATTCCTGGATCTGGACTTTTAATACTCCAGTCATCTGAAGAACCGGGTTGTGCCCACAAAAGCTCATGATACTATCTACATGTTTTGTTAGTCTTTAAAGTGGTACCATTTTTAATGTGCTACCAGACTATTCATTTTTTAAGTTTTTCTAGTTACAGACTAACTCATCTACTCCTCTGAATCAACTTCCTGGTATTCAGGACACTACAGCACCACCACATTATCACAAAAGAGTGTGAACGCAATGGTGCACTTGAACTTATATAGTGTTTAGTTAATGAGTTGCTATTCCAAGGCAGAATGATCCCTTGCAATTTAAGAGCCTGAGATAGTCTGCCTGTAACTTTTAATTATGTTGTAGAATGTTTTTTGTTACATTATGATAATGTATTTACGTTTGTGAATTTATTTTTGTGAATTTATTTAAAGTAGGGTGGATGAATGTCCCTTTAAAATGTCAAATACTCAGTTTGTTTCTGATAAACTTCATATTGGAAATCTCATATGACTGAACCCTTTTTTGAAACATTTCTGTTACCTCCAAGATTTGACTTGATATGAAATAACATGGGAATCAAATTTCTTGGCATTTTCTAATACTTCTGTTTTGGGACTAAACCAAGATGTGCAGACACCCCTAAAATTTAATCTTCTATGTATTACTTGGAATCATTACCAGGGGATTTCAGCATCAAAACTTATTCCTTCAGGACAAGATTTGAGAAAAAGTTGTTACAGGTTGAACCTCTTTAGTCTGGCACCCTCAGAACCTGATTGGTGACGAACCAGAGAATTTGCTGGACCATGGGAAGTCAATATTGTCTAGCAGCATTGCAACACCTCCACTGCTAACTGGGCTCTTTAGGGGTAAATTTAGACATTTAGGGGTAAATTAGAGCTAAATAACAACACAGAACACTGAGAGCCAGGACTGGTGGCTGTAAACAAACTTTATGGGACGATGGGAAACTTGGCCACACCCATGATAAGTGGACATCCAGCTAACTAAAATCATACCTAGATCACAGATGTTGCTGGATCAGAGAGTGCTGGATTAGAGAGATTCAACCTGTACTTTATTGAATTTGTTGGCTCAGTCCCTAATAAGAACAAGGATAAATCACAGGTATAAAGAAACTGATTTTTTCATAAGAGTTCGTTGCTAACAATATCACTGATATGAAATTGACAGAAAATTCAATTGGTCAAAGTTGTAAAATGCAAAACTGGGAGTGGTGAATCGAAAGGTTTCAAGTATATACGCTAAAAACTAGCATGTGTTGTTACAAGCAAAGTGGTCTAATTAGCTGCACTACATGTTCTCATCAATCAGTGTTAAGCTAAATACACCTTTATCATCAAGAAGTGAGCCTAAAGAGAGAGGTGAAGAATTAACAGCAAACAAATGGAAAAGAGAACAAGTCTGATGGTAGTGACAAAGTGTGCGGACATGGAGTCTTCCTTCACTAAGATGACTAACTAGAAACACAATAACATTAAAGTACTTCATGTACTCATCAGCTCGTGTACAGTATAAAATTTCCTACAGATCAACAATTTATTCCTTATATAAAAGCTTTCAAGTCACTGATGTAATTCATGCCATACCATGGAATTTTGTGCTATAGAAGAAAGTACGGAAGAAAACAGAAAAGAGTAATGGATTGAATCATTTGTTTTTGACACACCTTGAATTTTGCATCCCTTGTACATAGGGATAAGTCTATCCAGATCTTCTGGTGGCTCGGAAACTGGTTCAAGGGTTGGATCAAAGAGATTCAGCATAGCTGCAGCAAGCTGGAAACCGATCTCTTTCGAACTAAAATTGCTGTGAGTCCATTCATTTGCATGATATATATTGGAGAACTTGGTTAAAGGACCTGCTGCTCTGATAGCAACATCATTAGTATGGAAGTTGGCATCAATCACAAGTCTACCATCATAAACAAGGCATGCATCATTAATTGCCTTGAAGGTTTCATAATCCACTCCCTTGTTGGAAAAGTTAAAAAATGCCTAAAAAAGGTATAATAATGGAGGTCATAATACATTAGTCATTGTCTAACACAATAAAAGAGGTTCTGTGACTTATGACATGTAATAAGCACAAAATACAATATGGCTTTGTATACCCTGATGTGGTCTAGTGACTAAATTTTGAGATTAATTAAAATTAAGAGAGACCCAAAGAGATGAGATTTATTAAAATATGAGTATTCAGAATTTCCTACTTTCTGGTTAACCAGATTTGCTATATTTTAATAACTATATTATTTAGTACTTTAAATATCTTGAACGTATGCACATATTTTACCTTTGTCATTAGAAGGCTTTACAAAACTCTTCTCCCCTCCCCCTCCCACTTGAAAAATAACACAATTTCATTGCTTAGAAAGAATATTTGTGTATTATACATATTTTTGCATGCTGAAGCTATAACATTTATGAAGAAATTAAACTACCATGTTTGCCAGATTAGTTTTTATACTCTGAATATTTAATGATACTCTGTTTTTCAACTAATAAATGTTTGGGATAATTTCAAAAACATATTAGCACGTGAAAACGAATGATAAAATATAAACTAGTTAAGTAAAAGATGTTTCCATAATTCTGAGATGCTAGCCTTCTTTTCCAGTTGTCTTGATCTTGTGTCACGTGTTCTTGCTTCAACAAGGTCTGCATCTTTAACAACATCTTTTCTTTTTATTATTTACAACAGAGACATTCAATTACATAAAAAGTCAATATATTCAAAACAAGAAAACATTTTCACACAATGTCTGCTTAGAGTGTGGAGCTCATTGTCATCGGACTCAGTTGAAGCCAAGAATTTTGCAAGATTGATAAAGGTATTAGAAATGTATATGCAAAACTATCCAGATTTATTATAATAAATTATAAATTTTGGAAGGGTTATTAAATCTCATACTCCAGGGCTTAAGCAAATCTTTAATAATTAGGGATCAGGTTCAGGATGAGACCAATGAGGGGTTTCAGATTATCGTGAAAGCTGCCAACTGTGGGGTTCTTGCTCCTTCCATTGAAGCATCCGGTGCCAGCCACTTGTCATCCCATCCATATTGCAGCTATCATTTGGATATAGCAGTCATAAGTTCAATATATGTTTGGATTTGTGAGTTTATGTTTTACAAATACAAATTAAAATGATTACTTTGCATTGTCCTCCACATATTCGTAGATGTGGATTATAACACCACTGATGTTGAGTGGCCAGATTTTTGTTTTTAATATTCCTATTGGGGCCAATTACTACCTGAGCACTGACGATTCCAAGGATATAAAAGGGCGTGTCTTGGCCTCATCTGCTCTCAGTCCCTTCCCCAATTTTGGAATTCTTTATCTGAGACTGTGAAGAAAAGGAGGGGGGTGGGCAGTAGTATGGATATGCAGAAACTACACTTTCTAGGAACAAATTACTGGTAGGCAACTTCTTTTGTTTTGTTGAGTGGCCTCTGCATATGGCCACTTGTGGGAAATTAGCATGAGATTCAGCTCCTTAGGAAGGCGGGCTGAGGAGTTCTAAGTGAACAAGAACTATAAAACTGCTAAAACTAGCACCACTGTAGATGGCAGTCCAAGGGCATATTGAAAGTGGCCACTTTTTCACACATCCACATCAGATTTCAATGAGGGACACCATCCCCCGCCCCAGCTCCTGAGATGTACATTTACAGCTTCAAGTAAGAACTATGCAAATTCTACAAAAAACAGGTGACACACAATGGATTCTGTGTACACCAATGTGTAGACGGCTTGTGTTTCGACAGTGAAAAAGCTTTAACTTTTTTAATCTCTGTGTCTTCTGTCATTAAATAATTAACTGCCTTGAAACCTTGTTGTTTGACCTTCCATAATTTCCTACAGCTGTGCAATTTAAAGTGATAAAAATCAGCAAAACATGTTTAACCCAAAGCTTTGCACAATCATGAAAATTTAAATGGATAAAAATAACAAAAATGCTTAAAAACACTGATGTTATTCATCAAAATTATGTAAACAAATAAAATTCTGCCCAGAATAATAATAAATAAGGAAAAGAAACAAGTCTGGAAGGGGCTAGGTGAAAGATGGACTAACCAATAATAAGATTAAGCAGTTACACAATTAAGATATGAACAATCTTGGTTGTCTCACAGAATTTTTAACATAGGTGACAGGGCAGAAGCGAGACTTTGGAAAAGTATTATTGGGAACAGGCTTGTGACTTGACTTGATTTGGATAAACTTTCCATCCACATGGGGCAGCATGAAAGACAACATGGAGGCTGCAATGAGAGAAGGAAATGAAGGGGGCATGGAATTTGGCACCCCTGGCACTGCAGAAGAAGACAAGAGTTGCTATGCTGTGTTTATGTTTCTTCAGACACCAAAACATTTAATTAATGCAGAATTACTAAAGGAACCCTGACAATGACAGATCTAAAATTAGACTTACCACCTCTGTGATATCTATGCAGAGAGGGGATAAGAAAATTGTACATTCCAGTATGCTTCCTGTTAACATGTTCAGGAGGTACTCCCCAGTGTCTGGGCCTCTCATATCCAGATAACTGAGTGCAGAGTAGAGCCTTGCCAAACAGGGACAAGGCAGGGCCAGCAGGAGAGGAGATACAGTCCCTGAAATCCACAGCAAATAAAGGAGTTTCTGACTCTTTGGGGACAGAAAAGCATGGAACCACACTAAGATGTTACCATGGCCAACTCATTGCAAGGGGAGAGGTGGAGGAAGGCAAAAACGAAGGGGAAAACTGAAAGGGAGAGAACAGAATAGGTGAGAAGGGTGAATGATGGAATAGGGCCCTTTGAGGGGAGGAAGGAGGAGAGAATGATGGAGTAGGAGAGAGATGGATGGGAAATGAGGATGTTGAGTGTAGAGCAGACTAAGAGTTCTTGGGGGACAGGGAGGGAGGGATGGAAGAAGGACAGGTGTATAGGAATGATGATGATGATGATGATGATGATGATGAATTGGAAAGTTTCTAGGGGGGGGAAAGGAAGAGTTTGAGGGAATATTTGGGGAGAAGGAAGGGTTTATAGACTTCAGGGGTACAGAATTTGGAAGAAACTTTATTGCAAAGAACCTCATGGGAGGCCTCCCCTCCTAGGTGGTGGCAAACTTACTGCATGAATGGAGAATACACACAAACATATGTCAAGATGGTCATGCGGGTGTCTGTAAGTGCATATCCTAAAACTTTTACTCATACAAGCAGTCCTTAGACAACTAAGCCAACTGATGAGTAAGTATTAAAGGACTGGCCCAACAGCGCCAATATTGTCTTTTAATTGCGGTCCTTAATTTAGAAGGCTGATACATATTTCGTCCTGGTAAAGAAAAAACTATTTAAAATGGTTAAAATAAAGGTATGTTCCATTTTATGCTTATCAGTATTAACACTTGATCTTACAGTTGATTTTAATTCAGTTTCTTAATCAAATTTATATCGCTGTAGGGAGGAGTATTGTAGGCATCTACACAATAGAAATATTTTAAGAATGATTTTAAAAAAATATTAAAACTACCTGTCATTCAACAGTGAATAGCAATTTGTATGTCTATTGATTTAAACCCTTTTTAAATCCAAATCCATTTGGAAATCTAAAATGGTTTTATTTAGATTTTTAAATTATCCCTTAGATTAATAAATTAATGTTAAATCTTCCAGAGACATGGAAATCTAGCTACATCAACCTGGGATTAGCTTGGACTGATTATTTTGCAGCCCGGACAAAAGAAACACAACACATTTACTTACTGAACATTGTAGTTTAAATGGTCTTGTTTTAGTTGTAAAAGAAGCACATGTTATAGGATCTGGGTGGTCACCTTCATTCCACTGGGCCAGTATACTGTCATAATACACACACACATCGTTCTTCAACAGTGCCTCTTTAACAGCATTTTCGATTGCATTGTTGTTCAGGCAAGTTACATTTGAGCTAAGTGGAGGTTGCACCAGGTGTATGCGAGAACCATGAATTCCAAGAGCCAGGAGGGTTTGTGCTGTGGAGTAACTGTCAATGGTATTCCCATAGACAATGACATTCCCTAGGGGGAAAAAGGGAAAAAAAAACTAAGACACGCACCAAGAACCTTATCAATCTAACTCAGCTGACAATAATACTGAATTGTTCTCTTTGACCCTCTTATTGCTCTGATGCTATGAAGCAAACAATACTACCTAGCAACAGTAACTAAGATAATTTAGTGAAGAATTTGTGAAAAACATCCCACAAAGTAGGCAAGTGCTTTGCAGAAGTATGAGATGTATTATGACCCGAGAACTTGAAACTATGTTAATTGAAAACCTCGAAAATAAAAATCTTGTACCTTGCTATTCCTTCCTTCCTCTGTCCTCTCCCCCCATTTTGCTTATCTAAAACACTTATCAGAGATACAGAATCAAAACCACAATATATTTTCTCTATACAATATAGAAACATTAACAAGAAAACTTTTTTTTTTAAGTTTTGAAAATTACACAGAAATGGGTCTGAACTGTCTGTCCCCTCTTGCAGTAAGAGCTGCAGGAGTGAACGTCAGTGGAAAAATTGTCATGAGGAATCTTTCACAGAGATGTCTGCGCATTGTCCAAACAGTGGGGGAGGAGGGCTCTCCCCTTGTAGGAAATATGAGGTACACCTCCAAACCTGGCAAATCCTCTGGAGAGCTGCAAGAGGCCAGGCAGGTCCTGTACCTCTGTACCAGCTCTGACTCCTAGTGCCTATCCATTTGCTAGCTCCCTGGCAGCTCAGCTCCATTTGAGCTATGCCAATAGAGGGAACCAATGGGCTTCAGAGGACTTCAGAAGCCCTGGAACAGCAATATGGAGAGAAAATACTATAGCCTGAGGTTGTCATCTTTTTAGGTACAGTCCACATGACTAGAAGAAGAAAGATGCCAGCCCCATCCCAACTTGTCCAGTCTCCACCTCTTTCTTCAGGTCACCACAGTGAG